TTATCTAAAGATATTGTTTCATATGAATTCATTCTAATCAAAGTCTAGCATTTAATGTATTAATGAACATATTTGGTTCACAATGTGATTATTTCATATGTATGCGGTTCACAATGTGAACTTTTTCGTGTAACTTTTGCTTCAGAAACAAACAACAAAAGTTAACATTATGAAACAAATACATGAGAAACAAATAAATCATAAAACAAATATATGTTAATTGTTATTCAAAATCCTAGTATTAGATGAAAAAAATCATATGAAATAACACATGATGCATTAGTTTTCAAGGTTATCACAATTTCACAAGTTTTCAAAAGAAGGTCCCCCTTTATATACACAAGTGATCCAGTCAATTTAAACCGCAAACTAAACTGCATTGCTCAATTTAACAATTTTCAAACAAGACTGGACAAAACTCTCAAACCATTCAAATCACAAAAAACGGTCCGACTTGGTTTGATCCAACCGATTTTTACTATTCATCGATTTTTTTTTGAAAAACCCTAAAAGTTTACTTTTAAAAAGCAAAATAATAAAATTCCACGTTAAACACCAAACAGAATAATACATACATGATTAGAACAAACGAGAAGTTAGACTATCCTTTAGTTATAATTAAACCAGGAATAATACCGAACGCGGTTTAGATTGGCCGTTTTGATGTTGACATTTTAACACACTATTAATGAATGTACAAGTTTTTTAATTTATATATATATATATATATATATATATATATATTGTAGAGATATACATCCAACATGATCATCCTACCATGCGTATAATATCTTATCTTTATTTCCGTACAAAATTCAATATCCTCGTGCTTATAAACTAAAATCAGAATTATATGTTTTATATATTAAAAAAAGAAATTTATTATTAAAATATATTTCACCAATTGTATGTATCTTTTTAATACAAAATAGAGTGAATTACATTCCTAGTCCTTATCTTTTGTGGTTTGTTCGACTAAGGTCCCTTAAATTCGTTAATTACACTCATGGCATTTATGGTATGCAAAAACACATACTTTGGGTCCTCCCTCTAATAGTTTTTGTTAACCCAGTTAAGTATAAGGGTTTTTTTTATCCTCTTTTTTTGTCTTTGACTAATTAAAATAAGAAAAATAACAAGTAAACGGGTGAATCTTGTGTAAGTGAACGTAATGTTGTTGGCAAGCTTCCCTGCATGTGGCTCATGCACTACGTTATGCTCGAACGGTTGAGTGGTCGTCCGCCCTTCCATGCATAGATATATTATATTTTATGTTATACTTTGTCGTGTCCCTCATCTTCATCTTCATCCTTCATGGTCGTCTTCAAGAACACAAATCAAATCATCTCCACAATGTAAACACATATCGAGTTTCATCTTCATGAGCACAAATACAAATCAAGTTCATCTTTAAGAACACAAACACAAGAAAAATCCTAAACTAATACAATCTTTAACCCTAAACTTTAGAAACCCTAAATCCAAATCTTTCAAAAAATCATGCGCATTAATACGATTATATAATGGAAACAAGTTCAAAAACAAACTCAATAAAAACAATGATCAAAATCCACAAGGAAATCAAGTCCCATGCCCAAAAAATCACGATTTTTGGGCAAGAATCCAAAAACAACCAAAATCAACCGATAAAATCAAGAAATCCACAAAAATCAACCCCTATATGATTGATTCAAGCAAGAATTAATCAAAATATGAAGAAATCAATCGTCTTACACACCAACATGAACAGACATCTCAAGAAAAAAAAAAAGAGAGAAATGGGTTTTCGGAGAAACCGAAACAGATTGGAGGAGATGGACACAACAAACTCTGAAGCGATTTACAATGAGAAATCCTTTTAGAGAAACCAAAACCCACTTCTAAGCGTAAGAACTTCTTCTTGAGCATTAAAACAAAATAGTGGTGTTGGTTCTAGTCATGACTACTAAACCCATTATTTTCCCTTTGCCTAACATTGGTGCCATAGGTTATGCAAATTGGGGATGAGGGTTTTCCTAGACGAGTATGTATGATATATTACTTCAATATAATATGATCTGAAATATGATTTTTCATTAAAAAAATAATTTTTAATAAGAAAAAGATTAAAAAAATTAGTAAAATGACCAAAATGCCCCATAAGATAATCGGGTTAACAAAATTCGTTAGAAAGAGGGACACATAGCATGCATTTCTACATACCACATGTATCAGAAGAGTAATTAATGCGTTTGAGGGATAACATACCACATGGATCAGGAACATAATAAAAGCATTTGAAGGACCACAATAATACATATCAACATACCACAGGGACTGGAGATGTAATTTACTCAAAAAAATATTACATTTAAGGAAGTTGTAGATAGCGCCAGGAAAGTACGTAACCGTCCATGTGAAGTCAAATATGTTGTGGTTTTGCCGTATTTATGAATTCTTATTCCAGCTGCTAATTTTGACTTTTATATTTATTTTCTTCTTCATTTAATTAATAAAAGTACTCCTTTTTTATTCTACTCGTTGACACTTGCAGGCTTCGTTCGGTAATAAAACGTTGGAAATATATTCTAAAAAATTACGAACGAACATCTAATTATTTCTGTTATATGTTAAGTGAATCAGTCGATCGATTTATTTTTATCAGTAAAAAAACATTTAATGGCTAATCAAATTTATATTGACTTATCATCCAGTGATGGATCCAGAAAATTAATGGGCTGGGGGCACGTTGGATGGAACTAGGGGGAGGTAACGAATGGCCATATGGAACTGGGAAAACCATATAAAACGAGGATAAAAATAAAAAATTTAAGTTAGTCATTTTTGACTGAAAGTCTTTTTCTTAGTTCTTAAGGGCTAGATCTGCCCCTGTTATCATGCATGTATATGAGTACATGAATACTTCTAAAGTACAAAACTCGAACTATTGATTATGATTTATGCGTCTTTCTGAAATATTACGTCGTTATATTTATTCTATAAGATTGTTTTTACAAAGATCAAAAATGAAACTTTGTGAAAGTACAAGGGTGTTTATTGCAATTATTGAATTTACGAAAGGATATATACCCCATGCGACATTTTACGGCTTCTCACAAATCCGTTCTAGAAACAAAAAGAAATCCCATAGTCATCACTTCCGCCATTTTAGAATAACAGATCAAGAAATCCATGGCGATCGCTGATATCCATCAAGATATCATCAAAACCCACATCTTGACCAGACTCGACGGTCAAACTCTCTCCGCCGCCGCATGTGTATCCTTGCAACTACAATCCCTTTGCTCCGACGACAAATTATGGTCCGGTATTTGCTCTGCCAATTGGCCCTCCACCGATGACCCTCTAGTCCGCCAAGCCATCTCCAACTTTCCCTCCGGCCACCGTTCCTTCTTCTCCGACTCCTACCCATTTCCCTCCCACCGCCTCACCACCACCACCACGTCACCGTCTGCACCAACATCCCAAATCATCTCCGCCGTTGACCTGCGATACCATGACGAACTTGTGTTTTCGAAAGTTGAATCCACGAACATCACACACAGCGACTGGTTCCGATCGTCCCCCTTTCGTATTGATCTTCTTGAACCAAAGGAACTCGTCCCGTCAGCCGTAAAATTCTCCGGCGACGATCACGTAATGCAATCGAATCTTGAAAAACACATGACGTTGAGTTGGATCCTGATAGACCCAATCCAACACCGGGCAGTAAATCTATCCAGCATAAAACCCGTTTCCGTCCACCGGAACTGGTTGACTGACGACATAGAGTTGACCTTCGCCGTCGTGACCGCCACCTACGTGAAGTGCAACATAGAAATGACATGTGGGGTAAAAGAAGGCAGCGGGGAGGTATACGTGAGTGGGGTGAGTTTAACGGTACAAGACGTGGATGGCAAGTGTTTGAATGGGAAGGACAGTATGGTAATTTTACAAGGACTTGCGGTGGCGCAGCGGCGGAGCAGGAAACACAGCGGCGGAGGAGAGGAGGAGAGAGATAGGTACAAAGAGTATATTCAAAGGAGGAGAGAGAGAGACGAGAAGACGGAGAGGAGAGAGAGGCGGCTTGACATGGCTTGCGTTGTTAGTGGGGTAGCCTTCTTCGTGGCATTTTGGTCATTTGCTCTCTTTTAAGTTTTACATTCAATTATGCCTAAAAACGTAACAGTGAAATTTCTCCGTACGTTTATTTGGCAAGATTCTTTTATTGATTCCATTTTTTATGATATATAATATTTTGATTAAATTTAATTAATGGATTTTTTATTACTAAATTTGTGCAAATTCATCCTATTATTGTTTATTTTTAAATTTTGGTGATTTTTTCTTTCTTCGTCGTATAAACCTAAATCAAGGAGCCTCCGTATTATTAATAAAGTACACCAAACCGTTCATAGGCTATTTATATAGGTGCTTTCCTTTCTCCTTGTTCTTTGGTTAACCTAATAAGATGATTGGTGTTTCATGTTGTCTACCCTAACAAGCAACTAACACAAGAAAGTGACCGAACGAAGCTAGTTCACCTTCTCTCCTTCGTTACAACATAGGTCGTTCTAACCCCAGATGAAAATATTCCAAAACTTAAGTCAAGGAGAAAGGTGCAATTAAAATGATTAGGACTAGAAAGAAATACGATCCTATCTACACTAACTGTACATCATAGATCAGAGAGCCCGTTGAAGATATGTTTCAAGATTTTACGTTCAAATATTTGAAACAAATGGGATTAGACCGAGTTGAAATCAATTCCATTATCGAATAAAAGGGTGATCAAAATAAGGTGCAAAAAACCCAAAAACAATAAAATGTTGAAGGAAAAAAATTGTGAACATGACCTTAGGCCTCGTGGTTGGGGTCTGTTGGTCCCAAAAGGGTCTACAAGAATACTAAACAGTTTGTAGAAGGGGGGGATGAATACAAACACAATTTTCAAATTTAAAATATATATTGATAAAGAAGATCAATACAGATTTTACAAGATTGTTTGCGGAAAGATAAGT